AAAGATGCCGTCCCAGACGGTATTCAAGTATCGAATGTCGGAGGCTTCCATTCAAAGCAAGATCTGTTTGACAAAGAGGATGCCCTTCTTCGGCACCTGAAGCACTTGATTGCAGAATGTGTTGCTGCCGCTGCTGCGGCAGATGCCCAGGAGTTTCAGGCCCCAGGAGGGGCAGCACCCCACCTCCCAAGCGGGCAAGAGGAAGTGCTGCAGCTTGACAGCAATCCAGACGGCTGGGTGAACGTCTCCCGGAAAGGGCATCTGAACTACCTACACAACCACGCTGACGCTTCGGTGGCCACGGTCTACTACGCAAGGGCTTCTGGGCTGTTCAGAAACTCAATGCAATGTGCAATAATCTGATTTACCGCATATATCCCAAGAATGGTAGTTCACTCGAGCTGCGTATAGCCTCTATGACTCCACCACGGTCGCTTAAAGTAGACTCTGCAACTGAAAACCCTAAATCCCAAGCCCCCCAAAACCTTCAACCCTAAACTCCTAAACCCTTAAACCCCCTAAGCCCCCCAAAACCCCCCCCAAACCCCCCAAAACCCCCCCCAAAAGCCACCCCGAAACCCCTAAGTGATTCAGCCCCCAGGTGCAGGCAGATTCCGGGGGCTCCCTCCTTCTCCGACTCTCTCCCGGCTATGGCCCTGGGATGATGGAGCCCGATGAAGCTGCCGGGCTGAGGGGTTTAGAGCTTGAGGGTTTTTTGGGCTTGAGGGTTTTAGGGCTTGAGGATTTCGGGTTTTAGGGTTTTAGGGCTTGAGGGTTTTAGGGTTTTAGGGATTTTAGGGCTTTGGGTCTAGGGCTTTGTGTTTTCGTGCTTTCTTCAAATAAAGTTAAGAAACTTCAGGTCGGACGAGGCTTTATAAAGCTCCTTTAGACGCCCTAAATGCTTTTCGTTAAAGTCAAGAGCTGAAGGTTAAAGGGTTTTTATAAGGTTTCTGCAAGGGGGTGTAGGGTTTAGGGGTTTAGGGTTTAGGGGTTTAGGGTTTAGAGGCTTCGCTCCAAAAGGGTTTGCGGGTTTTGCGGCTTTAAGGTGTTACGAGTTGAAGGTCGTTATCAAGCTACGCATACAGCTGACAGTATGACGGCCAGTACCTCCAGTGTTCCGCCTCCTCCTTCTCCTCCTCTGCCTCCGTTTATTGCTACGACGACGACGAATGCTATCACTATAATGATGCTATGATGATTTTAAAGACTATCACTAACAGCATCACTAGTGTTATCATTCTCATTGTTACCGTTTAGCATCACTAGTGTTATCATTCTCATTGTTACCGTTTGGGTAGTTTTCAAAATCAGGCTCCCTTTTTGAGTCCCCAATATAGTACGGCCCCTTAGGACCTTAGGACCCTTAAAGGGACCCTACTTTGCAGAACTACCCATTGCCATAATGTTGCTACCCAGAGGAGCCCAAGCCCCCTTAATAAGGAATATACCTTAAACCATAATATTCAGGCCCCTCCCCTCTATCTAATCTAAGGCCATATTCCTTGACTCAGGGGGGTATTGGGTTCTCTGGGTACCATCAGCCCTAAACCCTAAACCCTAAAACCCTAAATCCTAATCCCTAAACCCTAAACCCTAATGGAGCCTAGGAGCGACATGTGCCCTGGATGTGGAGCTCCGACGGGCAGCCGATCTCCCGGTCTCCGGTGCAGTACGCGGAGCCCGAAGTCCCGGAGTTCGGGTCTAGGCTTCAGAGGGTTTGGTGTTTAGGGTGCAGGGTTTAGGGTTTAGGGTTTAGAGTTTAGGGTTTAGGCTTCAGGGTTTCGGGTTTAGGTTTCGGGTTTAGTGTGTCGGGGAGCCCCAAAGTGCGCAAGAGCTCCGCAGCCCTTGAAGGCTGCGTTTCCGGCTTTCGGCTTTGGGGCTTTTACGCCTCAGTGTCGGAAGAGAGTCCTGAGACTTAGAGGTGATATGAGTAGTTCTCTAAATTAGGGTTCGGGAACCCTACAAGGGACCCTGATTTCGAGAACTACCTACACAGTGAGGCTCGAACGGCTTTCGGCATTCCAGGCTGCACACCGAACAGACCTTAAAGAGAGGCAAGCAAAGCTTCTGCAATCCCTTACACGTGTCTCATAGTTGCTTTTTCAGTTGGGGCGAAATCCCACCAAAAAAAAACCACCAGGAGATCCGACCGAGCCCGGGCACTCTGGTGATTTTCCCTGGATGGCTACTGGGCACATCGGGCCCCACCCTCGACCCTAAGACACGCCCAAACCCGGAGGTTCGAAGTTTTTGGGAGTCGGGGATACGAATTTCTCGTCTTGAGTGGTTCGGCTTGAACTATTGGGCCTGGGTGTGTCTGGTCCTAGTTTGCTCCGAGGGGTTCCGGAACAAAGCTCCTGCAACATGCAGTTGCGGGTAAGGGAGGGACAACAGTGCTTCTGCAGTGGGAACACCAGTCATCACAACAGCAGTTGCTACAACGTTTGCAACAACAATAACTGAACTGGGCTGGTAGGCTGAATTACAGAAAGCTCTTGCCATGTGCAGTGTGTGAAAGCCCTGCTGCCTTGCTTGCAGGTCCATCTTTGGTGTATCTGTATAAGCATTCAATATGCAATAAACAGGTCCGCAAGGGCACCCGCATTTTTGGAGTGTTCGCGGCTTAGACTCAAAATGTTGTGTGCCCTGTGCACAGGGTTGAGAAGCCTCACACAAAAAAATAACGGCCAACATACACATGAGTATGTGCGAAAACCGTGGATGTCATCCAGATTAGGCCATGGATGATCTTTTCTCGGAACATGGACGTCATTTTGCTTGGGGGTGCGGCCCCACTAGCATTAACCAAACCCTAAGCCCAGCTTTTCCTGATTAGGGGACTCAAAAAAATACAACATAAATTTAAACGCTGGGCTCTAAACCCTAAACCCTAAACCCCTGTCTTGGGGAGGCACCTAAACCCTACGCCGGGTTTCCCCTAAAACTTGGACATATGTCCTAAACTTCTTCAACCACCCTGAAAAAAAATTGAAAAGAAACCACCCCCACCCGCAAACCGCAACAGGGAGTCTCACGGTAGTTTGTGGGGTTGGGCACTGCAGGGAGTCTTGTCTCTGGGGTTGGGCACTTCAGCCAGTCTGACGGTAGTTTTTGGGCTTGAGCACTTTAGGGAGTCTCCTGGTCGTTTCTGGGGGTGGGCACTCCAGGCAGTCTCTGGAGGTGGTCTCAGCGGCGAGGAGCGGGAGTAATAGCTGACTTTAAAGTCTAACAACCCCACGAACAAATACGTAACCTATACCCCAAACCTTGAAACAACAGAGCCCTAAGCACCCCGAACAAAACAGCACACCCATGAATCAAGGCTCTCCCACAGCGTGTCCCCCACCACCTGCGCCGAAGCACGGATTTCCTTTGCCTCGAATTGGGACTTGCCTACAGAGCCAGGATAAAAGAAGGGAGCCTTGCTTTTGGGTTTTAGGCTTTTGGTTAGGGCCATCGGGTTCAGGGAAAGCAAGGCTGGCTTCGGACACATGTCGGGTTTTGGCAGCAGTTTCGGTTCTGCCATGAGTCGTCGTCTTGTTATCATTTGCCTTCATATTGCTATCGTCTCCAGTGCCACTTTTTCAGATATGCTGCCGACAAATGAGCCGAGAAATGCAGTGTATTGTCAGTTCCTGTGTTCCTTGTCACCCGAGGCTTTAAGCCCCAACAACATGAGCCTATCTGTAACGTTTGGGTACTTGGGGTGTCGACGTTATTTTGGAGCTTTCGGGTTTGGGTTGTTCGGGGTGTCAGGGCTTTGAAGGGTTTGAGGATTTGGGGTCGGAGGGTTCAGGTTTTTCTGGTTTTGGTGGGCTTTGAGGTCTTGCATAGGAATTGCAAGGCTTGGAGATTGTGCGCTAATTTTGACCTGCCGATTCTCAGCCACTCTTGAGAGCAACCTCATGGTTTCCCAAAAAACCCTCAAGCCCTCAAAATTCCTAAAGCCCAAAACCCTAAAGCCCTCATGCCCAAAACCCTAAACCCTAAAGCCCTAAACCCCAAAGGCTAAACCCTACGCCCCAGTGCCTCTCTTCAAAAAAGCAACCTAGAGCCTTCATTCCTGGAAGCCCTACCCATAGGCCCCTAAGTAGTTCCTTTTTGGGATTACCTTATAGGATTCTACATATAAACCATCCTAAACCCTAAACCCAAAACCCTAAACCCAAAGTCCTAAACCCTAAACCTAAAACCCTAAACCCTAAACCCATAAAAAGGAACTACTTAGGGGGCCTATGGGTAAAGCCTTTGAGCCTTGAGAGGCCTTCCGCTTCGGCCCCGAGCCGGACACCGCGATTCGTCTGAGTTGGGTTCTTTAAGGGATCTATAAGGTTCCTTTAAAGGCTCCTTTAAGGGATCTATCGGGTTCCTTTGAAGGCTCCTTTAAGGGATCTATCGGGTTCCTTTGAAGGCTCCATTAAGGGATCTATAGGGTTCAGGAGGGTGTCTATTTTAGGGTTCAGGGCTGTAGGACTTTAGGGCTTTAGGGGTTTAGGGCTTCAGGGTGTAGGGTTTAGGGTTCAGTGAAATTCAGGGCTTTAGGACTTTAGGGTTTAGGGGTTTAGGGCTTCAGGGTTTAGGGTTTAGGGTTCAGCAGCTCCGGATCGAGTGGTATCTGAGTGGAGCTTGCTGTTTGGAGAATGCCAAAATACCCACCCACCCAGAGAAACCCAAACCATTAAGAACATACAAAGTGTACAATCTGAATCTCCCCTAAGCCCCAAACGAATCCTACACCCTAAACGAAGCCCTAAACGGAACCCAAACGGAACCCTAAGCGAACACCCTTAACCGAAACCCTAAACGGACCCCTGAACGGAACCCGAAAAGAAACCCTCAGCGAACCCTTAAACGAAACCCTAATCGAAACCCTAGAAGGAACCCTAAAAGGATTCGGACTTGTATTTTAGGATTCGGACTATTGTTTGCGGGTTCGGACTGGTATCTTAGAGTTCGGACTACTACTTTAGGGTGCGAGCTATTACTGTAGGGTTCGGACTATTATTTCCGGTTTTGGACTTTTATTATGGGCTTGTCACTATTATTTTAGGATTCGGACTACTAGTTTAGGATTCGGACTATTGTTCTAGGAGTCGAACTATTTACTATTTTACGTTTCGGACTACTATTTCAGGGTTCGGACTACTGTTGTAAGATTCGGACTACGACTTTAGGATTCGGGCAATTAGTTTAGGGTTCGGGCAATAAAGTAGGGTTCGGACTACATATTATTTTAGGGTTCGGACCTTGCCCACGAAGCAAGCCTTGCCCACGAAGAAACGGACCTAGCCCACGAAGATCATTAAGATTTGAACCATTATGAGATAAAGAAGGTCCAGGAGTGCGGCTTTTTAGGGTTCAAGGTGCAGGAGTGCGGTTTGTTTAGGGTTTGGGGTTTGGGGTTTAGGGTTCAGGAGTGCAGCTTTAAAAGCTGAAACAAGATTTCTAAAGGGTTCGATAAGAGCGCTATATCCAAATTTCACGGGAGCTGAAGCAAGTTTCTTTTGGGTTATGTAAGAGTTCTATGTCCAAACGGAGTGTTGCAAGAGTCTCACAGGGGGGCCTTTTAAAGGGTTCTGTAGGGTGAGAAGGGACAGTCTGGGTTTTCTTGCAATGAGGGGGTGTGGTGGTTCGGGCTTGGCCCCTATGCTACGAAATGAGGGCTCCTTAAGGATTTGAGTTTTTTTTCAGGGCATTGATGAGTTTTAAAGTTTGGGGTTTAGGGTTTTATTGCGGGGTTGCAGGCTTGCCAGTTCTTTGAGTTGAGGTCCAGCCAAGGGTCTAGAGTTCCCGACTTGGGGCCCAATACCCCTTAATTAAGGAATATAGCTTAAATCAGAACATTGAGGCCCCTAGAATTTAAGGTATATTCCTTAATTATTGAGGGGTGTTGGGTTCTCTGGCTGGCAGAAGCAGGATGAACGTCACTCATGCGCACCGAGCCCCAGACTTCTCTACGCTCCATGACCCTGACGCGCCAAACCGCAATCCTAGATCCCGGCAAGCCCTAAACCCTGATTCCTCAATTTTTGGGGGCCTCAAGCCTGAAGCTTGAACCCTAACCCGAATCCTCAACCCGGAGCCTCTCGCCTGAAGTCTCAGGCGTAGCCTTAAAATCTAAGGCAGTGGACAATTCAATCTTCAAGCCAATGATTCGCTAGCTGTAGTACTGATAGGCGTGCAAGTAAGCTTCGGCTATAAAAGCAAGCACAAGCACACCAATGATTTTTCGAATAACTTAACACATGCACAAAAACATCGCCATAGTCACACGAGCCATAGAAAGAGACACCAACATGCTAAGAGCACTGAAGGAGACAAACCTGCGATGAACGCTTGCGATGCAGGATCGACTGTGGCGTACGGAAGCAAAAGTAGACTAAAAGCCCTGAACTCCTGAGCCCTTATAAACTCCCCAAAGCCAGAAGCCCCTACTCCCAAGAGAAGCAAACAAAATCCAAGCCGAGGTTTGCTTGAACATCGTTGTCAGCTCCTCCCTCAGAAGGGGAGGGGTGTTTGAAGTGGGGTTTAGGGTTTGAGGTTGCGGGGTGTAGAGTTTAGTGGTTAGGGTTTAGGGTTTAGGGGTTGGGCTTTAAGGGGTAAGGTTTCCAAAACTAGCACGAGAATTCTTTTGAACCGTTCAGAACCTCGATACAGCCTTCTCAGATTTCTTGGTAGCTCTCCTGACAACACATCCTTACATTGTAAAGCCTTTGAGTCTTGAAGTTCCTCGGGGGATCTAGGGTGTACTCGCTCTCGGAAGCCTCTGCATAGAGGTCTTAAACTGGGCTCTTGTTAAGGGATTTCATCTAGGTTACCATAATAGGGATCTGTAGTAACTAATATGGCTTCCTTATTCTAGCACCTTAGAGTACATCCCCTAAAAAGAACCCAGTAAAAAGGGTCTGTTTGGTTTTTTTGGACTCGGGGAGCTGCCTGGTCTTCAGGGCTTCGGGGGTTTAGGGTTCAGGGTTCAGGGTTTAGGGTTTAGGGTTTGGGGTTTAGGATTAGGGTTTACCCCGACTTTGATCCTTGAGCCCTGTGAAGCCTCGACCTTAACGCCTGGGCTCCCCGGGAGCCCTGAAGTTCGAAAGTGAAGACTGTAAGCAGGGTTCGACCCCTCAACCCTGACCCCTAAACCTTAGACTTTGAACCCTAAACCCTAAACCCTAAACCCTAGACCTTGAACCCAAAACCCAAAACCCCTAAACCCTAGACCTTAAACCCTAAACCCTAAGGTCCTCATTTCAGACTAGGCTTGTCTCGCTTTGGCTTCGAGGGGCTGAGGCTTCAGCTTCAAGGCAGAGAGCTTCGACTGAAGGAGGTTGGGTTTAAGTCTTGAAGTTTAGGGTTCAGGGTTTAGGGTTTAGGGGTTGAAGGCTAAATTCGGGTCTCTTGGAGGGTATAGGGTTTAGGGTTTGGGGTTTAAGACTTTTTGAGAGTTTGAGGATGCACTTCGGACGTGGTGTTACGGGCTCTAGCAGAGCATTTCGAGTGTAGAGCCTTCGTGCAGCCTTCCCAATGCTTCGACATTGCCTCGCAGCCTCACACCCTAAACCCTAATCCCTAAACTCCAAAACCCTAATCCCCAACTCCAAAACCCTAAACCTTAATCCCTAAACCCTAAACCCTAAACCCTAATCCCTAAACTCCAAAACCCCTGAACCCCTGAACCGGACCCGAGACCCAAGACTCCGCCCTCGGCCCCGTCATGCAATCATGCAGGCACATTTGCGCGTCGCGGCCGCTGGGCGCGGGACTCAGCTCCGTGGCTCTTGCCACCATTTCCTACTAGTAGCACCTGAAGCCCAAGGGGCCTTCAAAAAGGGCTTTCCAATCGTATAAAATGTTTAAGACAATTTGGTTCTAGTCTAGTTTAATTTAGTATGGGTATACTATATGATATTACCTAGGCTTTGGGCTGGCCAGAGAAGCACCGGTAGTCAGTAATTACACAATCTTCACTGCAATGATGTCACGAGAACAAAAGTTAGGTTTTAGTAGTACTCATATCGGTGGTATTAAAGACCTCAGGATGCCTTTACATGGCTGCAGGCTTCAAGAAGGGCCTCCAGTTGATCGATTTGCTGAAGATGTCATGGTGTTTTGCCGTGCTCAGACGTACAAGTCATCTCGCCATCCTAAACCCTAAACCCTTAGCCCCAAGCCCTAAACCCTAAAACCCTAAACCCAAAGCCCTAACACCTTAAACCCGGAGCCGTAAAACCCTGAAGCTCTAAACAGCGACAGTCATCATGGTCTTGAAGTGCAACCAATTGGCAACGACTAGCACTATGATCACAATGCTAGCAAGAGTAAGAACTGGCGTTCACAATATCCCCTACGGAAAAGTCAAAGCCTAAAGTCCTCACCAAGCCCTGAGTCCTAGAACCCAAAACCTTAGCACCCTAATGCTACACCCTAAACCCTAAACCCTGTCTGCTGCTGGTGGCATGCGTTCAGTAGATGCTGACAGGTTCACTTCTGCTGCCGTGTCAATGCAAGCAACTGATACAGAAGAGCAGGCGGATGAGGACGAGGATGGCCAGGACATGCGACGAAATGACGAGGCTGTTGAATCTGTGGTCAATGCCACTCGCGCAAATATTGATCGTCGCATTTCAGAGATTCAGAAGCTGACAGATGGAACGCCAGGAGGAACCAATATACTGGTAATGCTTCACAAGGGACACGAAGTCGTCACCTACGGGTTGCCGATATACGGATTTTGCGGTGCGATTGTGCCATCTGATGGACAAATCGCCACCGTAGTTCGTGAGCGGTCTGCATCTGTTGAAGAGGGTGGCTGGGGAATCCCTGTCGAGCTTATGAAGGCCAGGATATCAGCAGACCTGGCGGCAGCTCGGCGTTTGCCAAGGGCGACTTGGCCATCGGTGCAGGCTAAGTTCGGAATTACAGGTGTACCCACCAACGTGGATTACCTGCAGGTACCGACCCTATCTGGACTCCGACCTTACACGGTGCCCTCAAGCTGCACACGCATTGACGGCGGTAAGTTTGACGTAAGAGTCACGGTGATGGGGCAGGCCTTCCCTTCATTCACGGTGGAGGCAAACCAATTGATTCCCGCATTTGGTGTTCTCCTCATGCCACTGCGCCTCTGCCCGGAGGCATATGCCATCTGGGTCTCAAAGCATTCGACCTTCGAGGTGGCTGAATTGGGAGAACTGAGCAGGGCTGATGCGTTGACGACAGTGACTGGAGCACGAGCCAAGATTCACCCGAATGCAAAACTTGTGGAGGTGCAGAACAGCAAGGCCAAACGTGCTGGCATCGTGAAGTCAAGGGTGGATGTCGTGGCTCTACCTCCTGTACTTTGCCCCGCCAGTCGATCTGATTTGGCCAGGCAGCAACTTGCCTCCATGCAGCTCATTGCACATGGAGGTACGCTTGATGAGATGACGACTGCAGCACTTGCGCACCCCGCTCCGCCTGTTGAAGCGGCACTGGACGAAGTCGACAACATGATTGAGACGTCCAACGAGCACCTGGATGACACGACCAAGGCGGACAGGAAACGTGAAGCTGCACGTGACGTGCTATCAGGCATGTTGTCACAGCAGTCCGCTACGGCCTCCGGTTCGCTGGCACCAGCTGCTGCATTGGCCACCGGTGTCTCAACGCCGCAGAGCATTGAGGTTCAGGGTCTGCTGACTGACCTCGGAGAACGCTTTTGGTGGTCGGGCAGCACGGGACCGCTTCGCACTCCAACGCTGCCTCAAGGCAATGAGGAGCTCATCCGGCAACAGCAGCTGAAACCGCGCGATACCTCATTCAAGATCGTGCCCATCTCCGCCGACAATGACAAAGGGCAAAGTGCGTTGCTGCTGGCTATGAAGGGGGCTCTGAAGCACATCAATGGCATGATGAGGGTGCCGGCAAATGCAAAACGCGTTAAGCTAGGGGATGCCGCCGCACTCCCGGGGTATGTGATCAATGTGAAGACAAAGGCCAACGTCCCAACTGTCATAGACAAGGTGCCACCGGAATACGTGGTATGCACGCATCGCTTGGACGTCTTTGATAGTGACGCATGGGAGAATGGCGGTGCGTCAGAGCACTTCCTTGCTGACATGAGGGAGGCGATCACATCTTTGGGCATGAATGTGCAAGCGGTGGCTACAGCGAAGCGCGAAACGACGGCCTTACGTGAAGTGGGGCAGCAGCGCAAGAAGGCATTGCGTGCTAGGAATCGCGCTAAACAGATTGGTGTGCCGGTCACCGATGGTGAGTGACTAGCCAGTGAGAGCGAGATTTGCATGCCGGAATTCAATGATGAGCAAGATGGTGCCGACATGTACAGCGAGTCGGAACTATGTGAATTCTCCAGATCTAGGCCGCCATTCGAATGTACAAGTCGACCGCGGAAAGGTGAAGAGTGCTGACGTCGTTTCAGCATCATCCATTAAGCCTGACATTTTCGTACATCCTTTCTTCGACCGGCAGGCGTTCAAGCGTCGCAGAAATGCTCAGGCTTTGCACAAGTTGACAGAGAAGCCGTCGCATGTGGATCCACCAGTTATAGAATGGGCGTGGACGTCACCGAATGTGCCACGAAGCCTGTTCTGGCGCGCAATGCGGCTGCATCGACCACCAACCATCTTCTCTGCCGTTGCAGATGATTCTGCGAAATTTGTCGGTGCACGGTCGGTTGTTAACATGGAAGAACCATGGTGGCAGTTCGGTCTGCAATGTGCCAGGGATCTGTTCTGGCACGGAGGCTGAAGAGAGAGGGCGAGAACAAGATGAGGAATCTGATGAGGTTGCTCACCTCACCGTTCATCAGGGGATGAAGCTTTGGGGGGTGACCGCTCTGCTACGAGCTGGAGCTATGGATGAAGAACCTCTCATCTTCAAGATTGCCAAGGACCAGCTGGGGAGACTGCGCAGGGAAGGATGGACAAGGGCACAACAGGCAAGTGCCTTATTTGTCATGGTGCAAGACAGGCATTGCAAAGAATACCTTGACAGATTTCCCTGGTTGCTGGCAGACCTGGGGCTTGAATTGGAGGTTAACCTTGCCCCATCCTGCTTGCCAGCCCCAGTTCCTGTGCTACAGTGGATAGAGGCTGAGTTATGGGACCACTTCGTGGATTGGTGTGAGACCAACATCGGGATGGAGAGCGAGGCGAAAGACCGACTATGTCTGCAGCAGAACTGGCAAGGTGGAGGGAGTGGGCGAACTCGGGGTCAACCACACCGGGGACGAGAACACGCAGCAGATCGCCTGCTGGACGACAACGCGAGAGAAGAGAACAACATCATGGAGATGATCTCACGTCCCTGATGCATAGAGGAGGCAGGGGAAGCTCAGGAGGGAGGAAAGACGGACACCGACGACCCGAGAGGAACGCATACGCCAAAGAGTGACGGAAGAAACTCGACACCTGACGCCGTGGACCTGCCGGGATAATCACAGTGGATGGAGTGATCTACGGGAGGAGAACGTGCTGCACCTTCTACTACCAGGGCGGCCCCTTCTTCGGGACATGAGATGGACTTGTTGGAAGCGACGAGCGAGTGGACGAGGATGATTGGGCTGCGACAGCCGGGCCAGGAAAGAGTTGAACCTAGCAATGCACTCATGAAGCATGTCCAGGTGAATGCGAGAAGGCAACTTGGAGAGCTGGATGAGCGGAATCTTGTCATTATGACACATGCACTGATGCGGCTCATGGGGATGCTCTACATTGAACTCGCAACTCGCGAGGCTGCTCATCCAAGCACATGAAGATCGCATGCGCACAGGGGAGGTGGTAGAGGTGGAGGTGGAAGAAGAAGATGAGGAGAGCCTCTACATGCAAACGGCCCTGACTTCGAATGCGGCCGACTTGGAGTTCCCTTCTTCAAAGATTGGTGACCTTGGCGGATGCTGGAGAAGAACACCGGGGGCTGTTGGCTGGACTCAAGCGGCGGATACAGCAGAGCCTTTACATGAACACACCGAGAGGAGTCCAGTTGCATGCTGCACTTGTGGCGGTGACCAGTGATGCAGGAGGCCATGGAGCTGAAATTTGCGACACTGAGGATAACGATGCTGGCACTTGGACAAAGTGAAAGTGGAAGAATGGATTTGGGGGGTGCCCCAACCCTGGATGCAGTGGTGGCCGCAGATACGGGGCCAGGGCATAGTCGCGATGAGGTGGAAAGATGGGAGACCGAGCGACAGAGCCTGGCACAAGAGCTTCAGGAGGAGAGGGAGGAGGAGCAGAGGCTCTACGACCAGCGAGCACAAGAAGAAGCACTCCAGGATGAAGCAGACTCAGCACTCTTCCTGGAGCAAGAGGCTGCTCGCTTTCGGGACTGGGAACAATGGGAAGTACTTCACACCCCTACGGTTCGCAAGCGAAAGCGCCTCCTTGTTGATGTGCATCCAGGCCGAGCTCGAGCAATCAATCAAGGTGAGATGGTGGAGAGGGCGGTGGTGGAAATGTCGAGTGGTTCGCAGGACTTTCATGTGGTCTTGCAGATTGAGCAATATGAGGTCCCAGTGGATGTACCGAACCAAGCAGTTGATCATGGTGGAGTGGGAATGGCTGCAGCAGGGGTGGATGTGAACAGTGCCACGTATGACAGAGCCTACCAAGCCTGGAAGCGAGGGGACCTGCGGGACAGTGTGATCACAGAGGTCTTTGGACCTGATTGGCTTTTTCTCTTCCAGGTGAACCGGGATGGACTGCCAGGTGATACGGTTCCCATGCCGCCTACAGCACCGTCTCCGCCTGCCGTGGAGGATAAGCCGGGTGCGACCCAGATGGACACCTCGGAGGCTGATCGGTCTGGTGGAGTTTGGCTACAAGGACTACAGGGAGCTGGTGGAGTGGTGGATTTGGAGGGTCTCACAGATGTCTCCGGGTCTACGGTGGAACCAGGAGGGGAGTTAGAGTCGGCACCAGAGGGATTGGTCGAGCAGATGGAGGGCAAGTCGCAAGTGGGAAGTCGTGGTCGTGAAGCTTGATGTCTGAGAGGGCGATAGTAATTGTAACCCAAGCCGGCCCAACCGGGCTTCGGAGCGCAAGCGACGAAAAGGGCCCTTTAAAAAAAAACCCTAAAACCCTAAACCCTAAACCCTAACTCATGAGGTTGAACCCTACATCGAAGCCCTAAACTCGATAGCCTACACCCTAAACCCGCAACCTTGCACCCTACACCACCGAAAAAGCCTTGCGAGGTAGCAATCCTCAAGCTCATGGACTCCGCGTCTGCTCGAAGGAGCCATTCATAGGGCTCTGAGATTCAGGTGTAGGGTCTATAGGGGTTTTGGGGTATTCAGGGTCTGGCGGTATGGGGTTGAGGGTTTAGGAAACCTTAAGGCGTAGGATCGAGTGAGGGAGTTTGGGGTTTTGGATCTTCGGGGGTCTAGGGACAAACCGATAACTTCCCAGAGAACCCAATACCCCTTAATGAAGGAACATGCCTTAGATTATAGGGGCCTTAATATTATGATTTAAGGTATATTCCTTAATTAAGCGGTATTGGGTTCTCTGGGTTTGCTAAGAAAGGTATATTTTCGAAGAGTGGGAAAGCAGCATCACGGCTCCCTAGACCCTACACCGAAAACCCCAAACCCTCCCTTTTCTATTTTCCAACGGTATGGCGACCTTTTCGTTTTGACGGTATAGGTTTCAGGGTTGATCCGGGGTAGCTCGTGAACAAATCTCCTTCTGCTACAGGACCCAATATCAAGATCCCACGAAAGCATCCTTATTAAGGGAGAGGGTGTGTTAATCATGGGTCTACATTGTGATCGTTGGGGCCCGGTACCAACCCTTGTAACACCACTGAGAAGAAATTCTGTAAAACCTGGTAAACCCTGTGTTGCAACCCTTCGGAACCGTATAAGCTCTTTCTGAAACCGTATCAAACCTTTATAAACCCCAAGCCCTCGGTTTAAACCCTTATTCAAACCCGACAACCCTTCTGGAGACCCCCTAGTGCCAGTTTATATGAACACGTTTAGGAACGGAATTACCCATAGGCCCCTAAGTAGTTCCTGTTTGGGATTACCTTGTAGGATTCTAAATATAAGCCACAAGAAGGAACTACTTAGGGGCCTATGGGTAAAGCACCCTAAACCCTAAACCCCATTGATCAACCCTAAACTCTACACCCTAAACCCTAAACCCTAGACCCAAGACCCTAAACCCTAAACCCTAAACCCTAAACCCAAAACCTAAACCCTAAGCCCTAAACCCTAAAGGGGCCACCACACTTTAAACAAAAAAAACCCTAAACCGGGCTTTCCAAGCTTCCCCGGGAGCTTTCTCCTGGGAGGCTCTGCGGTGACAGCCGCGGCGAGTCCGCGGGGCAGCCTGGAGTTGCTGCGTGTAACTACTGTTGATGATCGAAATCCTGCATTACCTTAAGGACCCTAAAATATGGGAATTATGCAAATAATGGGTAATGCAGGATGTATATCATCAACCGTATGGTTTGGCCTTTAAGGTTTAGGGCGTAAACCCTAAACCCTAAACCTTAACCCCTATACCC